CTTTGTTTTTGAGGTTGAACTTTGAATATGAGTAGGTTTTTCGTTCTTTTATATTTGAAGCAAGTTTGGGCATAAAATGTGATGAGTTTGTGTATAAATGCATAAAAAAATTGTCGTTAAACTTGGGATTAGCTCCAAAACTATTGCAAACTATTTCCCTTTGATTTTCTAAGATACCATCAAGATGTTTGATAAAATGTCTCAATTGGAAATGTTGAGAAATGTTGTTTTTGTTGTAGTGAGAGAATTTGTAGCGGAAATTCTTGCTAACTCTATGTCTGTTTGCATCAGATATGGAACTTCCTGTCTCGGCCAACCACGCTTTAGCTGGAGCCGTAATAGGGGAACTTCCTTCTTGGGCTGTGACAATTCCTAGCAAGGCAAAAACCAACCCAAACCCTCGAAAGATCAACTTGGTTTTTAAGTTCAATTGGGTTGGAAAATCAAATTTGAGGTTGGGTTGGGTTATGAATCAAAATATTCGTGATATGTTGATGAGATAGAGATGAATGTACATGTCGAACAAAAAAAACAATGATGGTGCTTAAATTCTGACATTTAGCACTTTTAGTTATGTACAGACAAGTTGTACATAACTTGTTTGCATTCAGTGGGTTGATATACTCATTTTTATTGCTGTAATGGTTTTTATTGTGGCCACGGTGCATGTAATTAATGACATTTTGAAATGTGAACAGGGATGAAAATTGTGAATATTTGTCTATTTCAAGACGAACAATGTCACATTTTGGAGTCACTTTTCTGAGCTGTTATCAATTTTTAAATTTTTGTTATTTTATTGCACTGATTCCAAGGTTTTGATCGGTGTTTCGTCACTTTTTTTAGTGTTGTTACTTTTTTGAGTTTTTATCCCTTTTTTTTTTTAATTTCTGTCACTTTATTGAATTGATTCCAAAGTTTTGATTGGTGTTTTGTTATTTTTTTTTAGTCGTCACTTTATTAAAGTGATTCTAAAGTTTTGATTAGTGTTATGCTACTTTTTGAATGTTTATCACTTTTTGAAATTT